AGAACCACCGCTTCGTAGAGAATCGTCTCATATCTGACAAAGGACGGGTACCCAGACATGTAGCCCAGACTCAATAACTATAAGTCAGCCCGGCCAGCAAGGCTCAGTGGTTGAGCATCGACCTATGAACCAGGAGGTCAGGGTTCGATTCCCGGTCAGGGCACATGCACAAGTTGAGGACTCAAGCCCCAGTGTGGGGCGTGCAGGAGGCAGCCAATCCATGATTCTCTCTCATCATTGATGTTTCTATCTCTCTCCCTCTCCCTTCCTCTCTGAAATCAATAAAAATATATTGTTAAAATAAAAATAATTATAAATCACCCAATTTTTAATGGCAAAAAGTTATGAATAAAAACTTCACAAATAGCCCTAACCGGTTTGGCTCAGTGGATAGAGCGTCGGCCTGCGGACTGAAGGGTCTTGGGTTCGATTCCAGTCAAGGGCATGTACCTTGGTTGTGGGCACATCCCCAGGAGGGGGTGTGCAAGAGGCAGCTGATCGATGTTTCTCTCTCATCAATGTTTCTAACTCTCTATCCCTCTCCCTTCCTCTCTGTAAAAAATCAATAAAATATATTTTAAAAAAAACACTTCACAAATAAACATATCTGACTGGTTATGAAGCACATGAAAAAAAATGTTCATCCCCACCCTGGTGGGTTTGACTCAGTGAATAGAGGAACCTGTGGACTGGGTTGTGGGCTCGATCCCCAGTGGGTGGCATGCAGGAGGCAGCCGATCAGTGATTCTCTCTCCTCGTTGATGTTTCTCTCACTCTCTCCCTCTCCCTTTCTCTCTGAAATCAATAAAAATATATTTTTTTAAAAGTCCATCCCCATTACTCATCAGGGAAATGCTAGTGGAAACCATATGGAAATACAACTAAACACTCAGAATACGGAACGTGAAAAAGACTGGTAGCACCATGTGTTGGCACGGATGTGCAGCAAATGGAGCCCTTGGTAGGAGCAGAAAACAGCACCGCTATGTTGGGAAGCCTTTTGGCAGTTTTGCACAAAACTAAACAAACGCCTGCTCTATCGCAAGCAATTCCAGTCCCAGATAGCATCCCCAGAGAAACGGAATCATGTTCACAAAAAGCCTGCAAGTTTTCCGAGCAACGTTCCCCAGACAGCCAAACCTAGACACAGCCCTGGAGTCCATCATGATGAAAACGGATTAAGAGACCGTGATGTGTCCAGAGAATGGACGACTATTCGTCAGCAGAAAGAAAAAAGTGCTGACACACAGCAAGATGGACGAATCTCAAAAAGCATCATGCTGCACAAACATTATGCAACATGCAAGTCATCCTGAAGCCTTCCTTACACGAGGAGCACAGACTGCAGGGACCTATTCACATCCCGTTCTAGAACAGGCGCATCTGATCGATCGAGGGGGGAGGGGTGGGGGGACAGGTGAGCTCTGGCTGGAATGGGCCAACGGGGGATGAAGGTAATATTCTATATCCTAGAATATACTCATGTTACACAGGTGTCTGCAGTTCTCAAAACTCAACAAATGTAAACCTAAGATTTGTGCACTTCACTGCGTGTGCGTTGACAGCAAAAGAAAAACTACAGACAAACCTCTGCTGAAATAATTGGGCGAAGTGTGCAGATATTTGCAATTTACTGTAACATGCATAAAAGGTCAGGTGGATGGATGAATAGAACAGGTATTTCATTGAATACGTCCTGGGACAATGCTCACTGCAGGATGTAGAGGGTGGATATGGGTGTTGGCTATAAAACCCCTTCAACTTTGCTGGATGTTGGCAAATTACCACACCGAAGTGTTAGAAAATATTCAGTCGCCATGGAGGCAACACGCCCTCCACAGAAAGGGCGCTCTGTGAAGTCTGCCTTTGGCGTCCTCCAAACTCACCCCTGCGCACCCACACCTCCCGGGCTCTCCTCCATCGTCTTCCCAGACTGGACGGTACCTGTGTGTCTGTCCGCCTCCTGCCTGCGTCTGAGAGAGGCACAGAGGCAGGTACCACATCTGGTTCACTGTTATAATCTCAGAGCCTGGAACAGGACACAGACAACATGGTCCTGTGTGTGGTGGGCGGGGGCGGGGGGGGTGGATGGATGGAGGGATGGGAAAGGGAATAGATGGATGAACGAGGGAAGGGATGAAGAAACCAACCTAAGCCGCTGTTGGGTCTGATCAAATAATTGAGTCGAAACCCCCTCCCCTGGGATCCGACCTCCAGGCCACTTCACAATGGGCACTCCACTGGCTGAGACCACACTCCACTGGCTTAGACCACACTCCACTGGCTGAGACCACACTCCACTGGCTGAGACCACACTCCACTGGCTTAGACCACATTCCACTGGCTTAGACCACATTCCACTGGCTTAGACCACACTCCACTGGCTGAGACCATTCTCTCTCCCCTCCGGAGTTTCCCGGAATCCAGACCTGCACAGAGAATTCCCCGCCCAGAAAAAGCCGCCTCGAGTCCTTTAAAAGCCACTGACTCACCATCTTTGGGGGCTGGTGCCATTTGGGGGCTCAGCCCATCTGGGTATCCAGATGACCTAATAAATTCATCATCCCTTACCACTTGGGCCTCGTGCGTTCCTCCTTCGGCGACCCTAACCACTGGCTAGCTTTATATCAGTTCTCCACAAACCACCAATCACAGGACAAGACACGGAATCAGAGCGAACCCTACGTCAAGGCTCTTGTGAAACTCAGGGCTGTGTGGTTTTCCAGAAGAACAAGTGCCACGCAGACCACGAGCCCTGCCAAGCCTTGCCCCACCGTTTATCGACAGGGACATGGCGCACACGGCGAGATGCTCTGGGAACTTAAAGGGACACCACGGCCCGGCCTGTCCCAGTGCCAGGCTTCTGTCCAAACCAAGGCCCCTCCGTGCAAGAACCACATGGGCTACTACTCCTACCTCCTTCCAAAAAGCATGCGTAGTTCACGTCTCCCCTTCCCCACTCCTTGCTGCCTCGGGGGTGGGGGGGGAGGGCAGGTGCCTAAGCAGAGAGGGACTCCAAGCCGCCTGAGCCGGGGTTTGGTTCCGTGCTGGGAGCGCCACTATGTGATCTCATTTATTTACTGACCACAACAGCCCAATGCGGAAAACACGGACACGTCCCTTTCCGTGCCCTGCACACTCCGAAGCCCTTGCCGACCGACTTCCCAGCGGTGGCAACCGCCCCGGGGAAGCCCTTGTTTGCCGGAGGGCACGGTGTAAGGATGTGATGCTCCTGTGAACACAGATCGCCCTTGAACTCCCCTCTAACACAGAGCCAACCCCCAGGGTGAGAGGAGGTGGAGATCTGGATGGAGAATCAGCTTCAGATAAATGAATAAACGTGGTCGACAGGCACAACAAAAGCCTTAAGAAAGAAAGAAAGCCAGGCCGGTGTGGCTCCGTGGTTGAACACCAACCTATGAACCAGGAGGTCACGATTCGATTCAATTCCTGGTCAGGGCACATGCCTGGGTTGCGGCTCAATCCTTAGTGTGGGGCGCACAGGAGGCAGCCGATCAATGATTCTCTCTTATCACTAATGTTTCTATCCCTCTCTCCCTTCTTCTCTCTAAAATCAACAAAAAAAATTTTTAAATATATTTCTTTATTGATTTCAGAGAGGAAGGGAGAAGGAGAGAGAGATAGAAACATCAATGATGAGAGAGAATCATTGATTGGCTGCCTCCTGCACGCCCCCCACTGGAGATCGAGCCCCAACCCAGGCATGTGCCCTTGGCCAGAATCGAACCTGGGACCCTTCAGTCTGCAGGCCTACGCTCTAGCAACTGAGCCAAACCGGCTAGGGCAATTTTTTTTTTTTAAAGAAAGCAAGCAAGTCTGCAGGATGCTACAACACGGATGCATCTTGAGGACGTCACCCTAAGTGAGATGAGCCGGTCACAAAAAGACAAACACTGCAGGATTACAGGTCAGTGAGGTGTGCAAAACAGTCAGGCTCACAGAACCAAAGAGGGGAACTGCATTTGCCAGGGCCTGAGCGAGGGAGGGAGACATGGGAAGTCACTACCGAAGGGGCATAAGGGCGGCGCCCAGACAAAAACTCCAAGAAGGCAGGAGGCACGCTACTTCTGCTCATCTCTGTGACCTTAGTCCAGCGAGACGAACAGTCTCAGAGGTCTGCTGTCCACCCCTGCACCCAGTCAGCACAGCACACTGCACGCTGGCAATTTCATCGGGAGGGGAGAGCCCACGCGAAGTATTCTTTCCAAATAATTTTTTAAATAACATGCCTGTGTTGCCAGTTCAGCTCAATGGATAGAGCGACGGCCTGCGGACTAAAGGGTCCTGGGTTCGATTCCTGTCAACAGCACGTACCTCGGTTGCAGGCTCCTCCCAGGCCCGGGCCCTGGTCTGGGCGTGTGCAGGAGGCAACCAATCGATGTGTTTCTCTCACATCAATGTTTCTCTCTGTGTTTCCCTCTCTCTTCCACGCT